CTGTTCATTGTGATTGTGTTGATGTGAGTACTGTGCATCATTGGGCAAGAAAATTTAAAGATGTTGAGGTGGGAACATCTGACTTGCGTGACAAACAAAGAGTTGGACGTCCTGTGACAGCAACCACTGAGTTTCACAAGCAAAAAGTTGACAGATTGATTCAGGACAATCATCGTATCACTCACAGAGAAATTCCCAGCATAATCGGCATTTCACAAGAACGTGTCAGTCACATTATTGCTTTGCTTGGCTATCGGAAGATCTGTGCATGATGAGTACCCAGGATGCTGATGCCTGAAATGAAAGTGCACAGACTTGAAACTTCAGAGACTGGATCTCACCAGTACGACATCCTCCATACAGTCCAGATTTAGCACTGTCTGACTTCCATCTGTTCCCGATAATGAAAGAAGATCTGCAGGGACATCATCATGCTTCTGATGAAGACTTTGAGAGAACTGTGAGATGCTGGTTTCGGAAACAGTGTTGACTTCTTCCGTAATGGCTTCAGAAAACTTGTTCATCATTGGCAGAAATGTATCCAATTAACTGGTGATTATGTGGAAAAGTGAATAGTGGTAGTTAAAGAGCACATTCTAAGGGTTATTTCTGCATTTGATTTATTAAAATATTCCCATCCAAACCCACGTAATGAAGTTGGAGGCATTACTTTTCATTCAGCCCTCATAGTATAGTAAAGTCCTGGATGGGGTGAAGCTACTGCAGCTCTTTTCTTTTGACCTGATTTTGCCTTTTCCCACCTTGAGGTTGCATCCTGTGTAGAAGTGATTCTAGGCATGGGAGGCATAGCCCATCTTCTCAATCAGAGGGTCATAAGGGATGTACTTAGCAAATCCTTTCCTGCTTCATCTCCAGTTCCTGCTTCTCTCAGCTCAAAGCTCTTCCTTTGTCAACTTCAAGCCCCATCAGTGCCCATTCAGAACCCCTATCAGAAGTAAGCTCTGTCTTTAGATATATCCTGTCATTTCAGCCCCCTGTCACAGTCTCCCAGAGCTGTGATTCTGCCTTTATGTTAAATCCACCTAGATTAATCCAAAATTGAGCAGAGTGACCTTTCATTAGATCTCTGCTTGTGCAAAGTGCCACCAAATGATTTCAGAAGGCACTTTGCTAACATTGTGAGTCTGTACAAAATGCTCACCACATTCAGGAAAACACTCTCCTGGCTTCTAGAGTGGCTTTTCAGGCAACCCCCCACCCTTGAGGTAACAGCAGAAACCACTGTCTTCTGTATACTAGACATAGTTTGAAAATATGTTCTAGAAAAGGTGGAATTGTAAAGCCCATGGGTAGTTGCTAGAAAAGCATGAACTCCATGTAATTTATCTTTGCTTTCTTAGCTCTCTAAAGTGCTTGTTAGTTTTGGATGATTACTAGAAGCAATTGGAAGCACTCATTACCTCTCTGAAGCATTCACTCATCATTGGTAGCACCTCATATTGCTTCCAACAGCTGCCAAAGATCCCAGCAGTGTCTCAACAACACGGATTTGAAAGACTGTGACTTCTGGGATTGTTATTGATGACTGGACCACACATGTGGAAGGGTTTTTTTAGCTCTCTTTCTCTGATTTCTCTTGATCGCATCTGAAGTTGAAAAGCCAAATAGCAAAGATACAAATATACAGGAGGTGGGAAGGGAGTGGAAATGTTGTTTCTTTTGTATGAGCTGCATAATTTGTGTGAGGGGGTGTTCAAGGAAATGTAATGTGTATTTGTGAGATATGTGCAGGCAAAAGCAAGTATGAAATGTAATTGTGTGGTAGCAGAGTATGTAGGGAAAATGTGGAGAGTGTGTGGGAGTAGTGTGCTTCCTTCCATTAAAAAATCATTGAAAAAATTGAGCATGATACATTGTATTGGGAAATATATGTGCTTCAGATAGATGTGTCTCTATACATCTCCTGAGGCTGCTTCCCAGATAAACACCTTGTAAGCAGCACAGACCACCATGCCTATTTTCATATTTTTGGAGAATGTGGAGATGTATTATTTCATCACTGGACACATTGCAGGATATATTTGCAGATACCTCTGGAGGTCTCTACAGGTGATGTCTTTGCAACATGGCTAGCTGGATTTCTCCCTGCTCAACCTCCCCACCGCCATCATTGCTCTTTGATAGCATGGAAATGGCTAGATGGTAGGAGAGAGGGAGGGTTGTACTGCTTAAATAGTGAGTATGTGGGATATTTTTTTTTTGTTATTTGAACAGAATTCGGACTTCTGCAGTAATCAAAAAAGTGAGTTACAATGGTTCAGGTTTTACTTACACAAATGTAATTCACTAACAGGATGCGAACTAAAGCCAGTCATTTTATCATGACTGAACTTTGTCTTTGTGTTTTAGCTACTGTCTCACTATAAAGCTGCCCCAGTCATTTGAGGTGATCAAACTATTTAAACATGGAGTTTAAAAGATAAGGCATGTCCACTGCTGGAATAAATCTCCATAAACCTTTCTACTGAAGAAATATAGCTCTTGGTTCAAAAGGGGTTCTCTGCTCCTAGTGTAGAGTCAAGGTGCCGTGGAAGGATGCAGATGAGCATCCACTTGTCCTGTCCATCCTACCAGCCATCCATTTGTTGTACAGAATGTGCACATTCAGTGCAACACACATAGGTACAGTTAACAGGATGATTACGTTACACTTTGCATGTGGGACAAGCATATGTGCACTGGATACTATACACATAGGTACTTTTGAACATTACATTCAATGGGAACCAGTCTGTTGAATTTGGAGGTGAAACAAGGATAGTGTTAGGGTAGACACATTCCGCCTGAACTGTTAGATGCTGCATGTTAAGGGCCTTACCTAAAATACTGCTTAGGCCTACAGATTTCCTGTTCAAAAGCTGGAACCAGAATACTACATGAATTTTCAATATATTTCACTCTGTATGAGCCTTTGTGGGAAAACATTATTATTTTTACATAGAGATTATTAGAATGAAGAATTTTCTATAAAAACAGTTTTTATTGTAAAATGGCTTGCATGTAGGTAGAACCTTCATTATAGAAATAATTGTCTGCTGTAGCTATCTTTTCACATGCTTCCCAGTAGTATCAAAATAATTACTGCCTGTAATGTACTCTGAATGTATGTAGTGCTATAAAGATAAAAATATGAATAGTTCCATGCTGTTTATTGCATGCTCATATTAGCTAAACACTTTTCTCTCTTGCTGTGGTAGGCAATTCTTTCTCTCTTGCAATATTACAAGTGCATTATTAATAAATAAATGGGCATGGCTTGGTAAGGGGGCTAAATTTCATTTGTTGAAATACTGGAAATCCCTTGAAATAATAAAAATCCAAATTTATTTTGATAATGTTACAACTTCTGCTAGAAAAAATGACATAATGCTGAGTACTGTTACCAGAACTGTGATGTTTGATTTGTATCACTTCAGATTTACTGGGGCCAGGCTGGGCAATGCTTTTCTACCAACTTTCAATTTTCCATGTCACTTGTGATGTCTCTATACATCTAAAAATATTGCATTATAGTATCACTCAATTCTCCGTTTGTGCTCTTTCTCTGAAGCTCATAGTGTTATATATATTTGTGTGTGTATATAGGTATGTGTGTGTGTATGTGCATGTGTATATATAGGTATGTGTGTGTGTATGTGCATACACATTCTTTATATTCCACCCTATCTCCCCAAGGGGACTCAGGGCAGATTACAGTACACATATACAGCAAATGTTCAATGTCATTGTACAAATTAACAAAGACAGACAGTACATAAAAAGAGGTAAAGGCTTCCCATATTTTTCCATCTCTGGCATATGGAGGCTGTGTTCAACTCCAGCCATGGGGAGGTGCTGTCACTTCCATGCTGAGGATACTGGTTGTCCTTATATGTTCTGCCAATCGAATCGCTGGCATGTCTGCATGGCACCTTATAACCTCTCCGCTAAAGTGGCACCTATTTATCTGCTCACATTGCTGTTTTTGAACTGCTAGGTGAGCAGAAGCTGGGCTGACAGTGGGAGCTCACCCAACCCAGGCTTGAACTGTCGCCTTTTCAATTGGCAAGATTTTCTGCAGCTGGCGGTTTAACCCACTGTGCTAAAGCCTGGCCCAATAATTACTGCCTGTAATGTACTCTGAATGTATGTAGTGCTATAAAGATAAGTTACATGCATGTATGAGAATCCTGAAATTTCTTCTAGACAGGTGGATAGAATTAAGTGTTAATGAAAATCTTGTAGTTAGTCTAGTGTTTGCAGCAAAATGCTGTAATTTAGAGACAGACCAGGAGTGTAGCTATTTGGGGGAGGGAGGGGTGAAAGTATTGTCAAACCAAAATAAGAATTCTTCTCCCTGATGGCATTTTCCTCTAGTCTCCAGACTTCTAGCACTACAGTAATTTACAACTTCAGCTGAGCATTCAGACATACAGTTAGAAATCTCCCAAAGAAAAGGGGCAGGGAATTTTATCAAGGAGAATGCAAGCACAGCAAAAAGAAAAGTTATAGGCATGAAAGATTTTTCAGAGCCACACTCCATGCAATGCTAAAAATAAAAGGAATAAAAGAAAAATTATTTGGAGGGGAGAGAGAATTCTCATTTAGGGGGCAGTGTCCTCATCTGCCTCCCATAGCTATATCTAGAGAGTCTTCCTTCCAGGTGTAGAAGGGCTCATTCTGTCTGATCCAGAAGAGCATTTTCATTGATAAAACAGAAGATTATCCTGTGTCCCATCCTGCAAAATTGATTTAGATAGTTGGGGGACCTGCCAGAACATTACTTTGCAAGCCGGAGCAGGAAGGGGGACTTATGGAAGAGGAAGGAGGACTTACGGGATGAGATTGGTGGGAGCACTCTGAACAGAATTCCCCTCTAGGAACATTTCTAAGCATGAGAAAAGATTGATCAATTCAATTTATTTTCGGAAACTACGGCTACAACTACACAATATAAGTAATTATTAAAATATGCATACGTATTTTTTTCTTTTTTTTAGCATTGTTTTAAAGGTCACTGTATCTGGTTAACTCCAGATATCTTGAAGCAAGATGGAAACTGGGGAGCATGGAGTAAATTTGGTTCTTGTTCACGAACGTGTGGAACAGGAGTGAAGTATAGGACCCGGCAGTGTGATAATCCACAGTAAGTTGAAGCTACACCATTTTCCCCCTTGAAAACTAATGCGTATTTTTAAAATAAATATTGTTGAACTACAATAAACATATAAAATGTTTGGTTATATTCAAGGCCTTTTTGTCTTAAGATTATTGTGATTATTTTATTGTTTTATCTGGATGCCTGAAATAATGCAAACCATTCATTGTTATTGCTGGATTACTATTATTGTTCTGTTCTTGTTATTCCTGAGTTATAATTATGGCCACATCCATGTTACCATTGTTATACTTGTGTAGCCTGAGTCTGTATTAATAGGCAAACAATATCTAAATATATAACTTTCAGGGATGTTGGAATTCTCAGTTATTGCCAGAGTGAAAAAAGAAAATATATGTTTATGAGTATACAATACACAGGCAGTTCTCAAGTTACAAACATCTGACTTACAAACTCATAGTTAAAAACAGAGGTGAGGAAACAGGAAGTGAGAGAAATCTACCCTTCAGAAGGGAAATTCACCCCTGGAAGAGTTATAATGGGGAAAAGATGTCTCACCTGAACCTTTATATATATAGCTGGATTTCCATTGACATTTGTAGGTTTTACGGTAGACAAATCTAATTGTTTTAAGAATCAATGTACATTCATGTTTGGTACTTAATTGTTACATATGCAGGCAATCAGCTAGGTGATAGCGTTGTAATAAGCTGTGGCTTGCCTGATGCCACCTATCCTGCATCCAGCTATTTTCTGGTTTTGTAATTGCAAGGCAGATAAAATGTTTAATGTTGTTTTATACTGAAGTGAATACTTACTATTGTTGCTTTTTCTTATTCCTAGCCCAGCCAATGGAGGCCGCACATGTTTTGGCCCAAGCTATGAATTCCAGCTCTGTAGCACACAAGATTGTCCTAAAGACTTTGAAGATTTCAGAGAGGAGCAGTGCAAGCAGTGGGATCCTTATTTCGAATATCAAAATATGAAGCACCACTGGCTTCCATATGAGCATAATGATGGTTGGCACATTTCTCCATCCACATTTAATTATTGCTATAGTAAACATGGGACCAATCTGCCACATTTGGAAGAATATTTCAAATATTTATAAACTGGAAATAATATGAATATTTCCAGTATTTGGAGGAATTTTGCCAATATTGAAGAGATATAGTACGACTCCCATATTTGCACAACTGGTATCTGTAGTTCATATATCCACATCAACAAGATATGTCCTCTATAGGCATCTTCTAGGTCCTCCAGCACACCCCTATAGTATTCTTGGGCCAGAAGACCTTCATTTTAATAGGATTTGCAATTTCGTTTATCCAAGCAAAATCCAGGAACGTATCTCCTGTGGCTATGAGCATTGTGCTATATTACATCACACTCCTTTTAGTAAAGGCACTGTTTTATAGAGGGGATATACAGCTCATCTATTCATGTAATTTTAAGCACCTAAATGGATTTTGTTTTTATATTTTGTATAACCTGTTGCCTTTAATAGAGAATATGTTTTAACAGGTTGATAGATTGGCAAGGTAACAGAAAAAAAATCCTTCCCTGTCCACTACCACTTTCTAGTTTTGACTTTTGTCCACTTTTTGTGGAATTTCATGAAAACCCTTCCACATCAAATTCCATTCTATGCCCTCATGCAAAACAAGAACACCATCTCATCATGTTTATCATGAGACCTTCATGGAATTACTACAAACAGTAGTACATCAATTACAGTACTAAGAGTATTTTTACAATGTAAATGCTAGAGAGTAAAGATTCTATACCCTCAAGGAGAAGTCTTCTTGCAAAGTATATATGTTTACTAACTTGGGACTCTTACTGAATGATCATACACTGCTCTCCGAAGGCAATCATAGTTATAAGACTCTGTGTATACAACAGATTTATGGTCACTGTATATGCCCATTCTTATAGCATATACGTTGTAAAAAACGATTACTACTGTAATTGATGTACTACTGTTTGTAGTGGTCTCATGTCTTTGTACATTAGGGAATCCATTTTCGGTTTAACTTTAATGGAATTGCCATTTACAGAATGATTTTTTTAAAACTTTAAGTTGAAGGGAGAAATCACAGGATTTTTTTCTCTTGCAGCTAAAGAGAGATGCCACCTGTATTGTGAGTCCAAGGAAACAAATGATATTGTGTATATGAAGCGGCTTGTACATGATGGAACTCGGTGTTCATATAAAGATTCTCATAGTATCTGTGTGCGAGGGGAGTGCCTGGTAGGTGGAAGCAGTTTCAGGAATTGCCATTTTTGTGTTTGCCATGAATGTCAGCTTACCATTACAGTGCCATCTCCTTATTCATGATTAATCTACATCCAATAACGTCATAAACCATAAACACTTCTATGTAGTTTGTGGTTTACTGTAGTTTACTGTTACTGTAGGGATAAATGAACAAATCTTAGTCTTTGCCTACATAATTAAAATTGAGTTTTGGTTAAACTTAGACAGAAAATGAACCATCATGAGGATAGGTAGAAATCCACCTATACAAATAGCTTTCTCATTTCTCTGAGTGTTATACAGGCAGTTACAAATACCTGTCTTACAAATGAATTGTAGTTAAGAACGGGAGTGAGACAACAGGAAGTGGGAGAAATCTTCCCCTAGCAAGCTTGCCAAGTGTCCTAGATTTTAAGGGTCAGTCATGTATTTGAATAAAATGTCCCATGTCCCAGGACAACAATTCTCTGGAAGGGGAAGAGGCAGGCCACTACACTGGAAATAGTGGCCTGCCTCTTCCTCTTCCCCTCCCTCCCCCTCTTCCTTCCCAAAATGGAAAATGCTAAAACCAAATGCAAAAGACAGCAGTGACCGCAGTATCATATTTGGGGGTCCCTTTAAGGGCTGGAGTCCCCTCGGAGAAGAAGCCACAGCCTAGCCTCACTGCAAACCTCCGCAAACCTCACTGCAAACCCTTTTATCCCCAGAGACTCACTCCTCAGGCTCCATACCAAAGAGAATGGAGACAGGTGAGAGAGGAGGGGTTGGCAGGGGTTGTGAGGGCCAGTGGCGGCAGCATAAATATGGGCTGTTTGTTAGTGCTCTTTCCCATGAGACATGAGTGATTTTCCCATGAGACATGAGGGCTGTTTTGTGAGAGTCACTGTGGTATGTGATATTCCTGTTCCATTCCAGGAAAAAGGAAAGATCTGGAGCATAAGAGCCATGGATTGAGGCGGAGTTGACTCATCAGCTTTTGCAATCTTCCTCAACTTTCTACTGATAATGCAACAGCAGTATGGGGGCGAGGAGGGAGAAATCTTACTGTCATAGAATCATAGAATCAAAGAGTTGGAAGAGACCTCATGGGCCTTCCAGTCCAACCCCCTGCCAAGAAGCAGGAATATTGCATTCAAATCACCCCTGACAGATGGCCATCCAGCCTCTGCTTAAAAGCCTCCAAAGAAGGAGCCTCCACCACACTCTGGGGCAGAGAATTCCACTGCTGAATGGCTCTCACAGTCAGGAAGTTCTTCCTCATGTTCAGATGGAATCTCCTCTCTTGTAGTTTGAAGCCATTGTTCCGCGTCCTAGTCTCCAGGGAAGCAGAAAACAAGCTTGCTCCCTCCTCCCTGTGGCTTCCTCTCACATATTTATACATGGCTATCATATCCCCTCTCAGCCTTCTCTTCTTCAGGCTAAACATGCCCAGCTCCTTAAGCTGCTCCTCATAGGCCTTTTTCTCCAGACTTGTTTAACTTGTTGTCCACGAGGACTCCAAGATCTTTTTCACACGTACTGCTCTCGAGCCAGGCATCCCCCATTCTGTATCTTTGCATTTCGTTTTTCCTGTCAAAGTGGAGTATCTTGCATTTGTCACTGTTGAACTTCATTTTGTTAGTTTTGGCCCATCTCTCTAATCTGTCAAGATCGTTTTGAAAGCTGCTCCTGTCCTCTGGAGTATTGGCTATCCCTCCCAATTTGGTGTCGTCTGCAAACTTGATGATCCTGCCTTCTAACCCTTCATCTAAGTCATTAATAAAGATGTTGAACAGGACCGGGTCCAGGACAGAACCCTGCGGCACTCCGCTCGTCACTTCTTTCCAGGATGAAGAGGAAGCATTGGTGAGCACCCTCTGGGTTCGTCCATTTAACCAATTACAGATCCACCTCACCGTAGTTTTGCCTAGCCCACATTGGACTAGTTTCCTTGCCAGAAGGTCATGGGGGACCTTGTCGAAGGCCTGTCTGAAATCCAGGTACGCTACATCCATGGCATTTCCCGCATCTACCCAGCTTGTAACTCTATCGAAAAAAGAGATCAGATTAGTCTGGCATGACTTGTTTTTGATAAATCCATGTTGACTATTAGCAATGACCGCATTTGTTTCTAAGTGTTTGCAGACCACTTCCTTAACAATCTTTTCCAGAATCTTGCCTGGTATCGACGTGAGGCTGACCGGACGGTAGTTGTTTGGGTCATCCTTTTTTCCCTTCTTGAAGATTGGGACCACATTGGCCCTCCTCCAATCTGCTGGAACTTCTCCTGTTCTCCAAGAACTCTCAAAGATGGTTGCCAATGGTTCCGAAATGACTTCCGCTAGTTCCTTCAATACTCTTGGGTGTAGTTGATCTGGCCTTGGGGACTTGAACTCATTTAGAGCGGCCAGGTATTCCTGTACGACTTGTTTCCCAATTTGGAGTTGGATGTCCTCAAATCCCTCATGCACTCCGTCTTGCTGAGGTTGAAGATGACTTTCTTTTTGTGAGAAGACCGAGGCAAAGAAGGCATTTAGTAGTTCTGCCTTTTCCCTATCCCCTGTCAGCATTGCCCCATCTTCTCCTCGAAGAGGACCTATCGCCTCCTTGTTTTTCCTTTTTCTACTGACATAAGAATAGAAGCCCTTTTTATTGTTTTTAATGTCCCTGGCAAGTCTGAGCTCGTTTTGTGCTTTAGCCTTGCGGACCTTTTCCCTACAGCTGTTGGCTATTTGTTTGAATTCTTCTTTGGTGATTTCTCCCTTTTTCCAGTTCTTGTGCATGTCTCTTTTGTGTCTCAGCACAGTTAGAAGTTCTTTGGACATCCATTCTGGCTTCTTTGCACTTGCCCTATTTTTTTCTTTTTGTTGGCACGGTTTGCAATTGCGCCTTGAGTATTTCACTCTTGAGAAATTCCCATCCATCCGTAACTCCCTTTTCTTTTAGTATCTGTGTCCACGGAATGCTGCTCAGTGTTTCCTTCATTTTTTGGAAATCAGCTCTCCTAAAGTCCAAAATGTGGGTTTGACTTGTCTTAGTTTCGGCCTTTCTTTGTACCTCAAATTGCAGGAGCACATGGTCACTTGCTCCTAAGGATCCTACCACTTCAACCACATCGATCAGGTCCTCCGCATTTGTTAGGATGAGATCAAGAGTAGCCAATCCTTGTTGCCTCTTCTACCTTCTGGACCATGAAATTGTCTGCAAGGCAAGCGAGGAATTTGTTGGACTTTGTACTCTTGGCCGAGTTTGTTTTCCAGCAAATATCGGGATAGTTGAAATCACCCATGACTACTACATCTCTTCACTGTAGTGTCATTGTACTGTCAAATAAGCCACTCAGGGCCCTTCCAGACAGCCCCTATATCCCAAGATCTGATCTCAGGTTTTCTATTCATCCCAGGTTATCTGGCAGTGCGGACTCATATAATCCAGTTTAAAGTAGAAAACCTGAGACCAGATCCTGGGATATAGGGCCTGTCTGGAAGGGTCCCCAGTTAATTGATAGTTTTCCCCCACACAACACTTCTTCCCCGATAATGCAGGTGACTTAAATGTGACTTTGGGTTGTTGTAGTTTTTGGGCTGTATGGCCATGTTCTAGAAGCATTCTCTTCTGACGTTTTGCCTGCAGGCATAAATGCAGGTGAAACGTCAGGAGAGAATGCTTCTAGAACATGGGCATACAGCCCGAAAAACCTATGACAACACAGTGATTCCAGCCATGAAAGCCTTCAACAATACATTAAATGTGACTTTGTTTGCACAACTACAACCACATTGTATTGTCGAAGGCATTCATGGCTGGAATCACTGGGTTCTAGAAGCGTTCTCTCCTGACGTTTCACCTGCATCTGTGGCAAGCATCCTCAGAGGTTGTGAGGATGCTTGCCACAGATGCAGGCAAAACGTCAGGAGAGAATGTTTCTAGAACATGGCCATACCTCCCGAAAAACCTACAACAGTTTACAACCACATTGATGTTTCATGCGGGTAAATTATGCTGAATTAAGCATCCTGCTTTTAACCTCTCTCCCATGGTCCTGTGTACTGGGGTCCATTGCCATGCTATATAACTTGAACCTGGATTCATTCTTCATACTGACAGGGGAAGAAAACTGTGCTGTCCTCCTCAGTGTTATTTACACAATAATGTTACTAATGGGTCAAAGATGAGTGTGAATTGAATTACATACCTACATAAGCTCACACCTTGAATAGCAATATGTTCTTGAAGCACTGCTATAATGAATTGATATCAGGGTTTAATTAAGGAAGCGGTTGGAAACCAGATTATACTAAAAGAAAGATCAACATCAACACCTCATGTGGATACCAATTTGCCCTTTCCTGAAGGTTCCCAATATCCTGTTTTTAATATCTTGATCTGATTTTAAAAAATCAAATCTTAATATAGACTGTCACAGAGAAAGATGAACTCCTTTTGCTCTTTGTTTCCAGAAAGTTGGTTGTGATAAGGTAATAGGATCCACAAAGCAAGAAGACAAGTGTGGCGTTTGTGGTGGAGACAACACCCATTGCAAAGTGGTGAAAGGAACCTTCTCCAGAGCACCAAAGAAACAAGGTCATTCCATTTTGCATGTCATGCCTTTCTCCCAAAATAAGTGTGCCAAAAGGTGGTAAAAGAACTTTATATGTTTGTTTTGGCAGCCCTTGTAGCAAGCTGCATCAAATGGTCTGGCGGAGGATAACACAAGTGCTTTCTTGAAAATATTTTGAAATAAAACTAGTTGGGAGACCAAATTTGGAAATTGGTTAGCAATTGACAACAGTATGTTGATGTTACATTGTTGAAGATGTAATTAATTACTCATTGTTAAAATGTTAAAGAGGACATTAAAATGAGATTCATTGACTCATTCGTTAAACTATTTAAATGTTACATCATTGAATTAAATTAAATTTAAAATCACTAAAAATGGCAAATTCCCCAAATTATCTCCTCTAACATAACAAATTAAACCATGAAGCATTGTTCATTACTTCAAATAGAAAATATTAATGAATTATGACTATTAAAATGATGAATATTATATGTATTATTGGAGATTATAGTGAATTTAGCTAATATATTAATTTTAAGAAGCCATGTTAGTGAAATCTCCAGGAATTTACAATAGCGTGAAAGTCTCATCTTTATTGCAGAAAAATATTGTTATTTAACCTCATCAACACCAAGGCTGAGATAAAATTGCAAAGCTTCTTTCGCTTTAGGGAAATTAGGAAACTCTTTTCCATGTTCTATGGATTGTGCACAAAGAAATTAATTATTGAAATTAATTCTTCCCATGCCCATATCTGCACTGGAAGTCATCATGATCTCTTACACCATGCTTCTTTTTCATTAAACATGGTGTCCATTCTTTCCATTCTTTGGGTCCTATAGATTACCAGTCTGATGCTGTAATTTTTAAAAGGCCCTTAATGAAAATCTAATCAGAGTTCTTATACCTTTAATTGTTTAATTAAAACATTTCCACCATGCCAGTGGCGTGGTATCACTGTCTGAACATGGACTATGACTCTGGAAAACAGGGTTTGAATCATTGCTTGGCAATGAAGCAACCTTGGGCAAGTCACACGCTTTTGGCCTTAGAGGAAAACCCCTCTGCTAGGAAATTCTGCTAAGAAAGCCCCATGATAGGATCACCTTGGGATCAACATAACTCATCACCATAATTTAGAAACAACTTGATGGCACACAATTACCACAAGCAGCTTTCTATCAAAATTATTTGTAACAGAAAAGAACAGACAATCCGTTCAAACAACTTCTTCAAGAGTTGTTAATCATTCAGAAATCTACAGTCAGCTCTCTACATTTGCTGGACTTGGAGGCACAAGACCCCATGAAAGTGAAAAATCTCAAATAAAGAAATCTTTTTTAAAAAAATCTGAGATAATATGTATCTAGGAATTTCTGGGTCTTCCAGCACAACTCTGTGGTTAGGCTCTGCGGGAAAAATCATATTCGAGGACCTAGGGGGTGTTTCTCTAGAAATTTCAAGGTCCGCTAGCATGACTGAAGCAGCCCACTGGAGCACCTAGAGATTCCTAGAGAGAACATTTTTAATCAAATCTATAAATAATCCACAAATGTCAAAATCACAAATGTAGAGGAATGACTGAAGTTCTCTTTACCTATATATATAATAGCAACCCATACCAATTTTATCATTGCTCTACAGGTTACATTAAGATGTTTGAAATCCCAGCTGGTGCAAGGCACTTGCTTATACAAGAATCTGATGCCACTGTTCATAATCTTGGTGAGTATACTGAATTTCTGTATCTATTAGAACCTAATCCCATAGAGGAATTACTCCAGCTCTTGGATTCTTTGGGGCATCTGTTTTTTCACATTTTTTACTTGCCCTGGATTTGTATAACAGCACTCTGACATTGGCAGTTTTGTTTTTTGTTTTATTTCTCCTCTATTCAATTTAATTATGCCCCAAATAGAATTTGTCCTTTTCACAACAGCTGCTCAGTAGGTCAGTGTTTCCCTCCAGTTGTTCTTCACAGCACAAGTCTTTTTGTTTGTTTGATCAATTCTTGGCAAATTAGGTCTCTACCACTCAAGTCTCAGCACTGAGAAGAAACTGCAGATTTCCCTCTGAACACTTGGAATTGTCCTGAGACATGCTAAGGCTTGTGGCAATTCATTTAAATATATGAGGCTGCATTACAGTGCATTATTTTGCCCCAGAGGCAATAGAAGCCAGAACACACCAGGGTGCTTCTCCTGTAGTGAATAAGGACTTCATCCCATGAGATAAATAAAGCATTTGGGATTGTTGTTTTTCCTTTAAGCTTCACAAACCCCTGTTTTGAAATTAAATGGACGGTTTTCCTACCCCATCACATGGCTTCCACTTTTTTTTTCTAATTATCCGTTTGCTTTCTCATCATGTGGGGGGACATAGATCTCCTCCCACTATCTCTTTGGCTATGTTTTAGCCAAAGTTGCTTAACTTGTTTTAATTATATGTTTAAATGTCTGCATTTTATTAATGTATACGACATTGAATGTTTGCCATTTTTGTTTATGGAAGCCACCCTAAGTCCCTTCAAGGATAGAGGGCGAGTTAAAAATAGTTATTTATTTTATCTTATTTCGTTGCATATTAAATTTTCTCTTTATAAGTACAGATAGCACTCAGTTCAAAAGGTAAGTCATTTATTTTACATTTAAAAAGAGAGATAAATTGCCGTTCTTTCCTGTTTGGTCCCAAAATGGTAATGGCAGAAGAAAGGAATCAATGCTGCCCATCTTAACTCCTCCCTCCATGATGATGTCATTGTTATGTTTACAAGCGGGCAAGGGGGAATTCCCATCACATGGTAAATTGGGCAATTTTACATGTCTCTATGTAGGAAATTGAAAAAGAAGTCAATTGCCAATCAACTTAGGAAGCATAGGGAAAAAAAACATACTTTAGAAATGGTGAAATAAATACCTGGAACCCACTGTACGAGCTTGCATCATGTGATGGGCTCTTTCAGTAGCCATTTCTTTAACATGTAGAAACACTAGTTTTATTGCATGTGATGAAGTCCTAAGTGGCTAAGGAGAGGAGCTGCACCCTTGAACCCCTTCAACAGTTGTTGCATATCAGAGATGAACATTGCACAAAAGGTACAAGATACCTCCTTTCACAACATACTCCAAATACTGTACATAAGCTGGTACAACTTTCATTAAGAGAATTCCAGCTATAAGCTATCCTGCATCATACAGTACAGGTTGAGTATCCCTTACCAAAAATACTTAGAGCCAGAAGTGTTTGGATTTCACATTTTTTTAGATTTCAGGATATTTACACACACATAATGAAATAACTTGGGGATGGGAGACCCAGGTCTAAACACACAATCCATTTATGTTTCACATACATCTTATCCTGAAGGTAATTTTATAGACAACATTTCAAATAATTTTGTGCATGAACCAAAGTTTATGTACACAACATCAAAAGCAAAGGTATCTCTATCTCAGCCATTCATGAGAACAGTTTTGAATTTTGGAGCATTTCAGATTTCTAGATAAGGGATACTCTTCCTAAACTATCAGTTGGGACTGTTTTACTAAAATTGGGGACTTGTTCTTTCACATCGTTACATAACATTTTTAGAATTGGCATATTTTCAAGACTAATTGTATATGTGATCTTTTTAATGGGATGATAGATATTTCCATTGCATGTTAACAGTGCAGATTGTGTGCTGTGTTTTCCTTCTTGTGGCAGAACATTCATTCCCTATTCAGCAGGTTCATTGGTTGTATTTTTGTATAAATTTTCAGTTTTTAGCATCTGGCTCCATTCTGTTTCGGATTCCAAGCCATCCATAACAAGGATGTTCAATCAATTGCAAAGCTTAAACACTAATTGAAATCTTCTTCTTACAATCCAGTGGATTGATGACAGACATTGTCTTGTAGACTGTTATTAATTAGAAATGGGTTCACATCACATGGACGGGTGGCTCCGCTATGCATCACCCAGGTTTTGCTTCAGTAAACGCTTCCCCTGCACTCCTGTTCAGTGTAGCCTCGTGGGATTAACTGCATTCTTTGCACAGACCTATTCCTTATGTCAGGCAAACATTTTCAGAAGCAGCATGGGCAAGATATAAAACTTCAGTTTTGTAAAGTTTGATAAATGTATTAACGTTGGCAGCATTTCAGAAATTAATTTCACTTACAGGAAAGGGTGTCTTTTGCCTGAGCAACAGGAAAAGGAAGCATCAAGTGCATGGAACCGTCATGTATTAATTTAAAATTAGAGATAGAGATGAAAGAGACATCAATTTTTTAAATGTAGGAGTCAGCTAGGAAATTCAACAGTACAAAGGTCAGAAGTAAAGACTGCAAAAGCTGTTACATTTGAAGTACACAGAAGAGAGAAGATAAGATGGGCAGAATCCTTGAGTTCAAAGGGGCCTCATTTAATCCAATCACGTGTGCAGAGGAAAGATTTGTTGTACTTAAAATCTTTGCCAGATGATTCAGATGCCCTCAGGCAATTAATTCTACTTGCTAGCTTCTTAAGATTATAAAAGTTTTTACTGTTATCTACTGGAACAATAATGTAACATTCTGGCCCATACATTTGCAACCTATGTTCTGTATGCCAGGCTGTAGTGAAATCTACCTTTAAGGCGTCCAGGCCGAAGCCTGAGTGTCAGTAGCTGTCATCTTGAAAGACAGGCAGAAGCAGGAGGAGGAGTCAAGCCGACTCCTGATTGGTCAGAGCAATTAGGGGAGGAGTCGGTTGAGAGAGGGAAAGAGGCTGTCAGCTTTTGACAGGGAGAGAAGTGTCTTGACATCAGACACAGAAGGAAGGGATTTTTAGGAGAAGAAGCTAGATAGAGTTCTGACAGGGAAAGAAAGCTTGGAAGTGAGCCTTAAGGATAGGGAATAAGGTTGAGACAAGGGCTAGGGTTTTACTGTGTTGAGAGGGCCAGTAAAAGAAAGACTTGTCTTCTTATACTAAGGGAAAGTATAAGAGAGCTTATTGCCCTGTGTGTGAGACAGATAGGGGTCTGTTCTCCAGTAGATACTGTTTCTAAGAATAGAACAGTGTGTTTAAGGAAACTCACAGTTCTAAAAGCTTTATTGTCAGTAGAACTATGTGTTTAACCCAACTAAGTCTCTACAACTGAATCACGCTTCTGTACCGCTCATTCTATGAGTAGATATTTGCTTAAAGTTTAATAAACCTTTTCTAGTTCACTTTTAACTGCTGTCAGCTTCAGTCTGTCAAACCATTTTAAAGTCCAGTCAGCCAGTCAAGCAGTTACAGAAGAACCAAGGGCAAACACACCTTACCTACAACACATTCACACCTTTGGTTCCTCACACCAATAAAACTGAGGTGGTGGCAGTCATATCTACCAAAAACATTGGTCATTGATATATTTAATTCATGGTCAGCTGCTAATTATTTCACAGTGGTGGCAGCGGTGGGATTTCTTTGGTTCCCCCCTGCCCCAGATATTCTTGATCTACGTTACACAGGCATATGTGATGATTAGTGGTCTGCCAGGAACTCTACCTGGAACAGCCCAAATGGAACAGTTGTTGCATGTCAGCCTGTTCAGCCTGTGATTGTGTCTGATGTTCATGCTGGGAATGGGAATCATATTCCTAATGGTGGGCCTGAATCTGCTGACAGTGGGGATGAGTGTTTGCCTGGGCCTGAGTTAAGCTTATATGGGAGGCCTGAGTTGTCTCTGGAAGATTCACATGGTCACATTCCTGAGAGAGGCCTTCACCGTCTTTCTCAGAGCAACTGTCTGTAGTTAATTTGTCAGATGCAGAAGTTAATGAGAGTCAAGATAATGAGAGTATGGAGGCTTTTGAAAGTAAAATGCTTTGTCTGCCAACCCACGAAGTAAAACACAAGAACAAAAGACACAACAACCATATTTTGGATTCAAATTGGGCAACTTTTATTTAACGTTACCTATTTAAATTCTTAACCTAACTCAAGGGTGTAAGGAACTGGTGTAACCTAACCCAGGTAGTATCACTACCCGATAGCAACAATTTCCGGGCGAAGCACCTGGGTTTCGGTAAACAAACCGTATCACCCTCGAGGGAAAGGAATAAGGAGTCTCTTCCAGAGCTCTTGTATCGAGACTCCTTCCAGTTAAAGGCCATTTAACTACACCTCACCCTAAAACTGCAGGTGAGTGTATTAACTTACCGGCCTTTCACCCCTTAAAGGGGTGCCCTTGGTGCACACCGACTAAAGGAATTACCCTATCTATTTACGCCTGGCCTATTTAAAGCATAGCCCACGTCCTCCATCTAGCCCCTAAACAGTATAGGGTAGGCAAAAAACCTCCCCTATAAAACAAGAAGAGGAAAAAATTCCTACCCGGCTCCGCAGGCAACCGCAAAATATACTGTTAATGGGCGGGAGTGGTGGGTCAACTGCCAGGCGCGGAATGAGCCTGGGAGGGCTTGGCCTGTGCTCACAGGCCACGCCCCCAGTGTTCTGGAGAGTTCTTCCAGAACTCCTCCCTGCCTCGTGTGAGGCAGACAAATGCTTTTCTCTCTCCCCACTTCATGGGGAGATGAAATCTATTGTCTGCCAACCCACGAAGTAAAACACAAGAACAAAAGACACAACAACCATATTTTGGATTCAAATTGGGCAACTTTTATTTAACGTTACCTATTTAAATTCTTAACCTAACTCAAGGGTGTAAGGAACTGGTGTAACCTAACCCAGGTAGTATCACTACCCGATACAACAAT